GATGAATGTTGCTGTACTGGGGAATGGCGACGTATCGTGTCGCATGGCTTAAAGCCGATACAACACCAAAAACCTAATTTGCACCGGATTGTACAGTAGTGAACTATAATGTCGTATAGTATTACCCACCCGTAAATATTTTGTGAAGCAATTTAAGATGTGACAATCTCAAAATTAACCGATTCGAACAGAAAATGACACTTGGAGCACATGACAATAATTTATATTGTTCATATGGGTTCAACAAATAACAGAATATGTGTAGGTTGAACAAGCATACACGTATATTTATGGGTGTCTTATCGGCTTTAATGAAACAATGAGATGACCGGTCTCCGGTTGCTTGTTGTTATCTGCGAGTCCTTGCGGCTGTGCTAGATGAAAATTGTAGACAATTGTAGACAATTGTAGTGCAATGAAGTTTCCCACGGAAAAACGAAATTCTTAACGGCTAAATGTTAGAGAATGTAATATATAATTATACAGTGTTTCCCCTGATCGCCCAAAAATGGTGCAATTTGGTGCATTCTAAGCACTGTTCTATGGAATAATAGTGATTTTCGTTCGTGAGGCGGTGTTTTGGACAAATTTCTTTGTAGCGGCTGAGACTGAGCGAGGCAGACTGCGTATATATATATGCGTGTTCTGAGAGAATGTATGGGATATTCTGGCAATATTTGCATTTATTGGGATGGGCAGTATCAGCAAATAATGAAGGGGTCATTAAATCATTTATCATCATACATATATTAGAGCACATGTACTCCTGCCACCTAAAAGGTGAACTCCACTTCTATAGATACTTTCCAACAAAACATAAAAGGACCGTTTTCAAGACATGTATTACTATTTGTATTTGAATTATATGCAATACTGAGATAATAATAATGAAAATAATAATAATAATAATGATAATAATAGAATCTGTTAAAAATTGGGTTATTTTAGAATTGTTCGTTTGTTCTTGCCCATATACGTAAGGTGGGTGAAATATTGTTTGGGGTTATGAATTATTTTGACTATAAAATGATACTAGTGGGTGAAAATATCGTATACAAAATGGCAAACGTGTACAGAATGGTAGTACGAGCGTAGACTCGATGCAGTTGTAGTTTAGAAGCAAACGTTCTGTCAGGTGCGGTTTGTTATTTGCAATTATTTTCACATTGGTTTCTTGCAAGATTGCTTTGCGTGTTTCCGTGGAAGCTGCAGGAATCCTTCGACAGCCGAACAATTACGGTCACGATTTTTGTTCCGTCAGAAATCTTAAACGTCAATTAAGATACAAACGCAGAATTCTTTCTTTGGAAATCCGTTGAGGGAATCTCTTGAATCACGAGTGTATATAGACTGGCCCCCCAAGTCGTTTGCGTTATGCAGCTAAAAATAGTGTATATAGACTGGTCCCAAGTTGTTTGCGTAACGTCGTTGAAATCCATCACACCGACAATGAATCGCTTGAATAGCGGAAAGTTGCATGATAACGTTGTAAGCTCTGGCATGTGCAGATAAGAGTGCATTTCAAGGAAGGGAACATACTTTCGTATTTTATTTTAGTGCTTAGAAGCTCTAACAACGCAACAAAAATCGCAGTCACAAAGCTTCTTTAGGCTATTTGATGTGGCCATAAAAATAACAAAGGTTTCTTATATATATACATATATATATA